CAAAAGGCATTTGACGCGACTTGCTGGCTATAATAGCCTGTTTGCTCGCTTCTTACACCCGCTTGTTTTATTCAGACCTAACTTGAATTGTGTTAACTTTCAACATAAGTTTTAAGTTACGGTAATTTTTTGTGTAATAGTTTGGTTTCATACTAAAAAAACCATATCCAACCTTTGTAATCAGTTATAAGATACTTCAGTCGGATGTGAATCTAGTTTTACTGAAAATGTTAAGAATGTGGTAAAATCAAACGACATTTTGTAAAAACAGAACGATATATTTAAGAATCATCACAACTCGCGTAAAAAATAAATAAAAAGTGATTACGATTTCAAATGCTGACGTCATTTGTAAATTATTTCGAATGGTTTGAAAATAATGAAAGCACTTTTGTACTTATCTGTACTATAAACAAAAGTGTAGTGAAGTGTTGCTATCATCATTATTTTAACAATTTCAAATCCTATAAACTTAATTAATCAATAATATTTACATATAGTTAAATATTTTACAGTTTTCAATTTTCAGTTTGGCGAAATATAGCATATACATTAGACATTTCTAGAATAATTTAATATTTTTATGATTAAGTATTACTTAATTTCTTATAACAAATATTAACTACATTAGAACTATATTTTTATTAATTTTCATCAAGTAATTCAATACATTTTAAATCTTCATATACATAATATTACATAGGATTCATTTTAGGAACCCTGTTTAAATCTATTTGTAAAATACATTTTTCATATAAGGAGTATTTTTTCTTTAAAAATAAACAACAAAAAGTACAAGACAAACAGAATACAATATAAGTTAACTAAGTTAAAAAAATTGGCACAATATTAATATGTTTTAATTAAAATACTTAATATCCAAACAATACTTTGAGCAAATAAATCTCATTTGACTAGTAATAGACTAGGAGAAAAATATTAAAATATTGACAATTTTTTAAACACTACAACTAAAAAGAATCACAGGAATAATCAAAAAATACTGAATATTTGAGCAAATCAATGTCCTTTAAATTTAGATAAATTACTTGTATATTAAATTGATAGTTCATTTAGATATTTATTTCTGTAAGGGAACATATACATTTAAAACAATAACAATGTGTTACAGTATAGTTTACAGTGAATTTATTATTATTTTATCTAATAGCTTTTAATCGACTCCGTCCACGTGGAGTTAAAAAAACAATAAATAGCCTATGTGTTCTTCCAGACTAAGCTTCAGATCTGTTCAAAATTTCATCCAGATTCTTTTAGCAGTTCAGACTACAAACTCTAACATCCATCCATCTAAACTTTTACATTTATATTAGTAAGATTATTTGTTGATATGGTAAAAATAGTTGACAATTTATTTCTACAGTATCAAATCGCGCAGTGCTTTGCCATAGATATACATAAATAAATATTAAATACAGTATATATAGGAGATTCTAACAGCTGTTACTACGCCTTCATTTTTGTGCTAAAAATTCAGACAAAACATTAAAATAATACCCGCATAATAAATTAACATTGGACGGAAAAGGCAAAATAAAAATTACTAACATTGGTGTTGAATTTACAAAATCACTTATATCTAAGTAAGTTAAATATGTCACATGAGCAATAAATAATCATACATAAGTAGAAAGTATATCACAACCTTTTAAAACTAAAGCTCTATATTAACTTTGGCGCATTTTCAAAGGAATCAAGTAAATACTGAAACATGACTAGAATTCTAGTTACCTAAATTTTCATACAAGATATATATTTGTATGATTAATTTTTGATATGCTAAGTATCTACGTCTAAGTATAAGTTATTATTCTATTATTGATTTATCACAACGTAACACTTAGTATTGTTTATTTGGCCGTTAGCAGATCTCCATTGCGGGTCGATACTTTGATATGAATTTCATCAATTCGTTGTCATTACAGTATACTACAACTATACATAATCTTATTTAAATTAACAACTTCCTTATTCATACATTTCATAATTTTTCTTCAAAAATTAATTAGGTGAAAAAAAAAATATTAAAAAATCAAAATACTCAACAAAAAAAGGTTTCTAATCGAAATTAAATTCAGTATTTTTATACAGGGAAAGGAAAAGTTTTTTTTTTATTTAAATAACTATTTTTCTCCCGTGACTTCGTCCACGCGAAAAACAATAGAACAAAAAAAAAGTTTTAAACCTATATCTTCTTCCAGACTATCTTCTACCTTTGCCTTTGTGTTAATAAAAATTAAAATAAAAATATACAATGAAATAAGTACATTACACATTTAATCGAGATTCATTCAGCAGTTTATGCTACAAACAAGAATATGGAAGTTGTTAAGAGTATCGAAGTACCGACCGGTGTCCGGTGTGCGGTGTCCGGTGTCCGGTG